CTGAGCAACCAGCAGCCCCCATTGACTTTCAAAAATGATTTCCTATATATGCAGTATATCTATAAGATAATGATTATAGATAACGCAAACATGGGAGCGTAACGGAATTATTTTCCCCATGAGTTTCACCATCTGTAGAAACTATCCATCCAGAATGTGAATGAGGAAATTGTAGAAAATATTATCTACCATATGCAGATGTGATGTTTACTGACATATGAAATAATTAAATAACAAGCTATTAAAGAAACAACAACCAAATAACAATGGGGAGTACAATGGTACAAAAACCCTGCAATTAACCTGTTTATTAATAAGTAGCAGCTATGAATTTCAGAAATAAATATTTTATCCCAATTTTTACCTCCACATATATCTAGATATTTACTTAAATATCTATCTCTCACTATGGCAGGCTATGTGAAAGAAGGGGTAAATAAACATTGCTGCTAAAAATGTGAGGTTAGTGTAGTTCTCAAAAACTCAACATTTCTATATCTGTATATACACAACTATGAATATAAAATCCCTTTTTGCTATAAGGCATGTTAGGGTTCATTACTCTTTTACCTTAACTTTAAGCCACTTTAAATATAACAAAAATACTGTATTCTTATAGTGTTTCTTATAAATATAATAATAGAGATAGAGTAGAAACAAAGATTAAATTAAAATCAATGTGCAGTACAGTGGGCTCACTGTGACTAGGGTTGAGCAAAGAGGTTCAAACAAAAGACCCTTACTCCAGCTGAATCTAAATCAAACTTTTTTTTTAAAGTGCCTGACTAGTGTTTTTTGCAGATTTTGTGTGCCTTTAATTTTCCTGGTTTCCTCTGCAAGTGGAAATACCTACTAAAATAGAAGAAGCTCTTGCAGTATTTTCAGCTTCATTTCTAGACTAAAGAGAATGGGAGAAGTTTTGCATAAGATCTCTGAACTTTTGGATGATTATTTGGACCAAATGTCCAAATAATGTTTTCTTCTTGCAGGTGTGTGTTGAGGTGCAGATGTGAACACAGTATCTTTGGTTATATTTTTATTATATTTCTCTCTCCTCTCCACAAAATAGTGAATTTTGGAGAGAACAAGGGTCTGGACTGACAATGCAGGATGCCAGTGCCCTGTATTTAATTATTGATCAGGCACAGCATAGGCAATGGAAGTATAAAATTCCTGTGCTGCCCTACTACCATTATCTCTCTATCTCAATGTGATGTGAGAGGGACGAGACATTTCATGAATGTCACAGGCTCGTAAAGCTATTTTGTTGCTACTTTGTAATTTCTGTGCTAGTTCGGGAAGGCAACAAGCAGTGTGTTTAGAACTGGTTTGTGCGTTTGTGAAGGGAGTTAGGAGAACAGTGGATGGAGGTTTCCTCTTAAATAGGAAAAGGGTAATCATCATTGTGTCCAAGCCAGGCTGTAATACAGGGCAAGATGGCCTGATTCTCTAGAATGCACTAGTTGAGTTGTCATCACAAAACTGCTAGTAAATGTGTAGCAGCTTCTATATTCAGCAGTACTTGGCTCTGAGGCGTGAGCACCTACACCACACTAACACTCAACATGCCCATTGGGGATGGGGGGGATGGGTCTCTAGGTTTGGCAGCATTGTCTGAACTGGTCCAGTGACAGGGTGATTCAGACTCCATTCTATTCTCCATTTCATACCTCACTTCCCAGATTGCCAACAAGGTGTCCTTCAGTGCCTATTGTGAAGATAGTTTCTCCTTCCCCTCTTCCCTGATGTGGACATCTGTCCATTGGGAACTGGACACAGACCACCAAACCATTTTAGATAGGCCACCAAAAAGCTGTTAGATGGTAACTATTAGTACTATCAACCTTATTCTGATTCCAACCAGACGAAATGCTTCATATCATTACCAGGGTGACTGTGTGGAAGCACACTTATCCTTCTGCTAAAACCAGGGTGAAAGCTCCCCTTCTTCTCCTTTTGTGAGTGGGGGAGCACTAGCACTCCAAGGCTCTCCCCTGTCTCCTTGGCTGGTGAGATGAAGATTGATCAGCTGGGGGAATCTGGAGGAGATGCAGCAGAAGCAGCTGGTGCCTGGCTGGGGAGTTTCTGTGACTCCCAGTGCTACAGCCAGTAGCTGGGGCAGCAGCAACTGATCTGAGAAGACAAGGTGTCCCATCCTGAAGTCTCCTATCTGCCTCTTCTAAAGCAGCAGTTCTCAACCTTTCCAGACTACTGTACAGGGCTGCCCAGAGGATTCAGGGGGCCTGGGGCAAAGCAATTTTGGGGGCCCCTTCCATAAAAAAAAGTTGCAATACTATAGAATACTATATTCTCATGGGGGCCCCTGTGGAGCCCGGGGCAAATTGCCCCACTTGCCCCCCCCTCTGGGTGGCCCTGCTACTGTAACCCTTTCAGGAGTCTGATTTGTCTTGCGTACCCCAACTTTCACCTCACTTAAAAACTACTTGCTTATAAAATTAGACATAAAAATACAAAAGTGTCACAGCACACTATTGCTGAAAAATTGTTTACTTTCTCATTTTGTCTGTATGAAATTCTAGTTTGTACTGACTTTACTAGTGTTTTTTATGTAACCTGTTGTAAAACCAGGCAAATATCTAGATGAGTTGATGTATGGAAGACATCTGTGTACCCCTAGAGGTACGCGTACCTCTGGTTGAGAAGCACTGCTCTAAAGCAAGCCCTGTCCCTAGGCTAACTTCCCCTCCTCTACAGAAGGAAAGACAAACAATGCACAATGATTTGTTCAAATTCTCTCTTTGAAATGTCTTAACCTTTTAAAATGCAGGACGTTATTAAACACATTTTCTATCCTGATCATGTCTATGTGGCAGCGGTTATAAAACAGGTGGGGTGAGCACCTCGCCACCACACACACTGTATGTAGTCACAGTACTTTGTTTGACTGGCTTTGGACTGCATGGAAACATGAACTCCCCTCAGATTACATTTATGCTCTTGTTCCTTTAGGTGCTCAGATATAGTGGTGATAGGTACAGCATAAAAACCTACATCTAGTTCTCATTCTCTTTCACTTGCTGCGCCCTGTCACCACAAGATGATGCAATGCCGCATGACCACATAAGAGTGAGAGCTGTGAGCTCCGCCTCCTATTTTGATCTGTTTAGACCCACTGCTCATAACCAATCTCCTTAGCCATCTACAGGGTTCTTTAGGCTGCTGTCTGTGCCTGCCCACAAACAGACCAATAATTAGAACAACATATTTTGTATTTTCTGTAAAAATGTATTTTATATGCTTGATGATGTCAGATTAACAATAAGTAAATGGAGTCAAATGACAATAGCGTGGTTAATCATGATCTCAGTAAGCGAAAAATAATCATTTTGTGGGCACATTCCAGCTATAAAAAAAGAGGCAGCATTTAAAACTGACAGAACTTTCTAAATTATAGCTTTCTCCCTGATATGATAAATCTAATGCAGAAGTTTGCTTGTGGAAAGATTCAGAGTAACATTTATTTGTGTGTCACTAGTCTATTGATTAAACTACAGATCTCTAGAGATAGCACTACAGGGGAAAAATCCATTATAATTTTTAATCTGTGACTGAATGAATATGCACATCCTGGATGCAAATGCAGTTCAGAAAAACTGGAAAATGAAGGAATGAAAATTGTCTTCTCTGGAGTTTTCTTATTTACCACTGAAATGTTACTAGACTTACTGAGACGACATTCATTAAATCTACTTGCTGATTGCTGTTTGTCGATATGTCAGCAACAAAAAGGAAAAATATTAAATACTTGGGTGGATCAGTGCAATAGTACTATAGTTGAAATAAGAAAAATTAATCCACTGAAACACATTTAGTTTAGTGAAAAGAGTGAACTCTCCCAGAACTCTGTCAGAATATATTTTTTTACTTATTTTCTCATTTTAGGAAAGACACTCCCTACTGTTCACATTAACATTATCTTTTGTGTGTTTTGATGGTTTGACATTCAGCAAATAGAAAATGTTGATAGTCTTTATGCTTTCCACAGGGGAACAATGTTAACATGCAGTCCTACAGTTTAATGCTAAAAGTGTGTAGATTCTGAGAGCCACACCTTGAATATTTCCAAATGTTCCAGAGATTCTTCTTTCTTTCTGGAACTCGACCCTTTTGCGGCCCAATTTTTGCATCCATCCTACTTTTTCTCCCCCTACCCACCCCCCAAAACCTACTCAAAACTATTGCAGTCTAGACCAGAGAGTGAAATTAAAGAAATTCATATTTCTGACATGTTAGGCTAAATTGTACTATGAAATGTCACATTACATCATATTCCATGAAACATAAATGATATGACAAGATGCAACCTAATGTAACTTGATCCTGTACATCACAAACTGCACAATGCCTCAAATTTACAACCAGGCTGTTTTTTCTTTAAAAAAAAAAAAAAAGGTTTGTGAGGATGAGTGGAGGAGGAAATACTACCAGTTAAAAATAATCAATTTGGTATGTAGGTTTCAAGCTATTCTGTACCCGAAAGTCACAGACAGTCCATACCTGGCAATCCATACGAACCACCCCCACCTCCCCAAGCAGTTTGCAGCTTTGTACTCAAACTTCAAAAACAGTTATTGAATTCAGAGTGAACTTAACTCACAGGCATGACTGTAAGAATAATAAAGAGTGCTGGAAGAATTGTTTAACAAAATGCCCTGACCTCCTTATTCACAAAAATACACACCTTTGTCTAGGTTATTTCATCCACAAATAAGGGAGATTTCTCATCTCCTTTAAAATAAGTAGTCATCCCAACTGTTGCAGGGATGTGACTTAGTAGCTGTGTTCACAAGACACACAGTGTCTATGGAAGGTAGGGCGTACCCCAACAGGCATAAATGTGTATCTGGACAGTGTCTGAGTTATTATAACACAGATTGGGAGGGTGGGGAAGGTTGGATCGAAGAAGAGGGGTGGGACGGAGAGAGAGATGAGGTGTGGAGTGCAGGAGGTGAATAACTGGGAATACAGCAGCGGTTTACCTTTAAGATCAGATCAGTATGATGTTGGTCCAGCATGTTCGCCTTCCTGAAGGATGTGATGATGACCCTGCCGTACCTCCCAGGGGTCTGCAGGTCAGAGTAGAGCCGGTGTTTGGAGCGGTTCACCGGGAAAAGGCTGTTCACCAGGTTCCTCTCGATCTTGGCCAGGCTGTGTTTGGGGGCCAGGAGATACTCCACGCTCTCCTCGATCTGGTACCTGCTGAAGCTGGCGCCCAGCAAAATCGAGATCAGCACAGGTGCAGAGGCGAAGAACACCGGGTGACTGGCAATGAAGTGGCCGAGTCTGGAAAAAGACGTCCTCAGCCCCCTGTGCAAAACCTGCCGCAACATCCTAGTGCAGAGGGAGCTCAGGAGGGCGAGGTGCGATCTGAAGCTCTCCCGGAGCCGAGGCAAAACCATCGGGGGAGCCCAGGCAGACGGGAGCTGCCCCACCGGCCTGAAATACACCCGGGCAAAAAAACCCGCCCGGCCGGGGCGCTCCGGGGGGGGGTGGGGGGGTGGGGTGGGGGGGGGGGGGGGGGGGGGGGCTGCTAAGGCTCTTTTCCTCCCGGAACGCGGCTGTGCCCTAGAGGAGTTTCCCAGCGCCTCATTGTCTGACTTCCACCCGCCAGCCGGCTCTGGAGAGCAGACGCCCAAGGGCAGCGGGGCTGGGGCGGCGAAGGGAAGCACGGGCGAGCGCCAGAAGCCCCGAGCCCACCGCGGCTGCCGCCAGACCACAGGCGAGTTTGTCGGGGAGGCGGGGGCTGGCCGCTGATTGCCGCCTTTGCTCCAAGCCCGCGCAGGCAGCGAGGAGAGCGGAGCGCCCACTCCCCCTCATGGAGCGGCTAGGGGAGGCGTGCTCGCAACCACAACAACAACAACCCCCCGCACACACACCCCACACGGCACACGCCGGATCCTTTGCGGTGGGGGGGCGGGGGGGCTGCGGCTGCTGGGTTGTAGATCCCCTGTGTGAACCGGGCGGTGCTGAGTGGATTTCAGGCGGCTAGTCCCCCACCCGCTGCCACACACTCCTCGCCGTCTGGTTTTAAAGCAGCGCGCTGGTCGGCAGGGAATCGCCGCTTGCCAGGGAATCACACCAGCGCCCCGTGACCCGGAGGGGCTGGAGGTGGCCACGCGTGGAGCGCAGGGCCAGTTGCCGTCCTTGCTTTCCCACCACAAGTTGTTCAGATGGCGGCCCCCACCCCCGCCCCCTTCTGCCTCCCCGCCTGCCCCCGCCCAGAAAATGATCAGTCAGTCCTCAGGGCAGCCGGCGGCTTGCCGCGGTGCCTCCTCGCCCCATCTTCAGCCGCGGCTCCTAATGTCCCGGCTGCCGGAGGGGGCCGCCGCGGGAGCGGGTGGGCTGCATTGCTGACCGCCTCCCGCAGCTGTCGGGCGGGGAACTTGGCTGGAAGAAGTCACAGCGGATGGGTTGCAAATCAAAACGACTAAGACCTGTGTAGTCAATGGAGGCCCCCCCAGCCCACTTTGAAATAAGAGGACCTGATGATACCGCTTTATGTCAGCCCCATGACAGCGCCGCCGCGAGCCTCCAAGGGACAAGCTGCCAATCAGAAAATCCTCAGGCGCTCAGGGAAGGAGGGAGCCAGGCATGTCACTGGTACAGTCACGCTCCTCCGGAAAGTTTCCAGCCTCACCTCTCCAAAAATCCTCTTAGCAGCACGTTTTGGGGGCTGGGCCCCACGCCGGCGGCCGCGGGTCCCATTGTTTCCGACACAGGATCAGCACAGAGATACAGTTTTGTGTATTTCATTGGTATCACGCGATCCTTTAGCTTGGCCAACACATGCAGCGGGGGAGTCGCTCGCTGGAGAAAGCAGGAGCCAGAAACGTCTAGGCGATTCCTCCACCCGCCCTGTCTGGTCGCGTGTGAGTGCGAGCGTGGGTCTCCCCCCTGTCTGGCTCTGCCGCTCTCAGGATGCGGCTTGTGCGAGGGCTTTGCCGGTGGAACAGCAGAATCCGCCCGGCCTCATGCGGCCCTAATGGGCATGTGCACAGTGTCTGCACATGCCCATTGCCAAAGTGAAGCCCCGCTGAAGCTGGTGCCCTTCCCCTGCCCTTTGCCCTGAGCTGCAGCAAAACTCCCCTTCCCCAAACGCACCGTGGCGAGCCGGCAGCGGGAAAGGGTCTGGGAGCGGGGTGTGCGAGGGCGAGCTGAGCAGCTGATCGGGAGGGAGGAGGAGGTTGGGTGTAGGCGACGCAGAGCCGAAGGAATGTACAAATCGGAGCAGGGTATCGAATTCCTGTCTGGATTTTCAACAATGGGAGGGTGGGGCATACAAAGGATGCAGGGAGTGCCATAAAAAGTTGAGGCTGCACTGACACGGACATCCCCATGTGCCTGGACACTTCCCCCACCACTCTGATTAATTGGTAGGTGTGTGTAGTGATGTCACAGTGGGGTTCTCCCTTGGAGATGACATAGTGTGAGGTATGGGTAGTGAGCAGATGAGTCATTTAAGATTTATAATAGTATCTCTCTTGAGTGACTTTCAAATTTTGATTTTGATTTTGATTCAAGTTTCCTTTCAATATTTTTATGGCTGGAATTTAACTTGAGTTGGGTGTTTAAGGTTTATTTTTTTCTTCCTTTCACTAACAGATTTTCTGTTGCTTCTGTCAAAAATCTGCTACCTGTTATAAATGTTAATGATTTTATTGAAGGGGTACCTTACCAATGCCTTTCTTTCTTTCTTTCTTTCTTTCTTTCTTTCTTTCTTTCTTTCTTCAAAAAAATCAAAACAACTTTTTTCTAGTAATGTGTAATATTATAACCTATTATACCTAGCTCCATCTAAAGTCTAATCTGAATAAATGGTGTAACTATACCCATATAAAACAATAAAAAAAATCAGAAATACATTAGCAGCTGGGTTAAAGCTTTCATATTTGGATACCCAGATATCAACATGTTTATTTCTGTTACAGTTAAACCATCTTTCTTAGGCTAGGTCTACACTACGGGGGGGGGGGGGGGGGGGGCC